GTGGTCTAGTGGAGGGTGTCCCTGCCCACAGCAGGGGGGTTGGAACTAGATGATCTTTGAGGTCCCTTCCAACCCAAACCATTCTATGATTCTATGATTCTATGACTGGTGATGTGCTCTGCAGAACTCTGGTATTTTTTAACAGAGAATGCTCTTTACCATTGCCCATGAAACAAAATAAAAATATGACAAAGGCATTTTTCCTCTGGGAGCAATGCCCACAATGTATACCTGAAACCCTGTTCAGGCAGAAACCCCTATTTTCATTACATGAGCTTGTCTGGAAATCCTGAACATCCTCTGCCTCCTCCAGCAAAGCCTGCCAAGGCTTTAAAAAAACCACCTTGTTAAAAAAACACCCCAACAGTGGGAAATAATGTCCACAGCCCGTGAGGGTTGTAGGTAGCAGCTCTTCCTAGCAGGTCTTTCCCCTGCTAACATTGATGCTGCTCTGTGTTTCAATATCCAGTGAATTACTTGCTTAAAATTAAAATAAGGCTGTGCAAAAGCATTTAAAAGACAGGAGCAATACTATATTTTACAACATAGATATCCTACAAATCAGACTAGTATTTTAAAAAAAAAAAAGAGAATTCAAGCAATTTGGGGGAGGGAGAAGCTGTCTTTCAAAAAAAGTAGAACTAAAAGTCATTATCTTATCTTAGCAATCATGTACCTGTTGAACGTAAGCTGTAATTTCACGGTGTTATACGGTACTAGAAAAGGCTTAAAGGCTTGCCACAGCTCCGGCTGAAATGAAGTTTTCCCCTCAACAGAAAGTGGACCAAACTGTAGCTGTAGAAGTTTAAGAGAATTATTTTTACAGCTGACCACCGATTTTTGAAAATTATATCATTTGGATGGCGGACTTAAGACACCTTAGAGTGCTTTCATTTTCAAAAGATGCTGAGCATTTGACTTCTGATATAAGCCCCTTTTAAGATGTCTCAAAACCTGGCCAGCCCCAAACTGTTGATTATTGAGTTAAGTGCTCACCATTTATAAATGACTGACTGAAAATGCTGTCCTTTGAGGATGCTGTAATTAATTTCATCTGTTAGTTACCTGGTAAAGCCAATAGTAGTTTCCAGCAATACCTACAGATCCAGTGTAAAAGACCAGATATTGAAAAATATCTATATTTACAATAGACCAAACAAGTGGACAAAACTGTGACCCATCAAAAATATGGTTCACAAGAGAGTAAATTTTGAGCAGCAGCTCTGAAAGAAAGCCTCATCCTCTGCTCCTTGTACCAGACGTTCCCCATGCTGCTGACCTCCTTGCAGGCCATCAGGCAGACGGGAGTCTCGTCCTCCATCTGCGTTGGGGGCTGGCATACGTACATGCAGAGGAGGCAGTATGGGCAGAGTTTGTGCCCTTTTGAGTGCTCGTGGTAGATCGGGCCGTAGCACGCTCTCTTCGCATTCGCCTTGTTTTTTTGCTTTTCTTGTTATCTGTTCTGGCAAAAATTGGCCTGCTCTAGAGTCTTTGAGCAATTCAGTGTCGCCAAACATTAAGTCTGTATGCTACTGTAAGGTGCTATATTTCACCACCATGGACAGGAGGGTTACAGGCCTGTCATCTCCCAGGCACCCCGTCCTCCGCATCTCTTCCTTGTCAGAAAGGGAGGAGCAGACGATGGTGCAAGAGCAAGCACCAGACATCCCAGCCTTGCTCAGGACCTTAAGCTTCTCCTTGAGCTTTCTGGTGGAAGAGCTGAACGTGCTGCTGGTGATGGAGAAACCACCAGGATCCCGTCCAGGCCTCACTGGATAGCATGGAGGGATGTGGCTAGAAAGTCAGACACATCTGTTTTCTTCATGGTGATATAAAAGTCCTCCAGGAGTTTATCGAGCTTCATTGCTGGGATCCAGAAGAAGAGGAAGGGGAAAGATGTGTCAAGATACTTATGGGAAAAAAGTGCATCACAGGTGCAGAAGACATGTTTAGGGCTTCTCCATGCTATGTCTGCAGAAACCTGCAGCAGCTTCCATGCTTCCCCAGAAGTTTGTTTCTGGGCAGCCTTAGAGTCTTGGGAAGAGGCTACATATTTATCTAAGCAAAAGAGATGCAATGAAACCCCATGGTGTAAGGATGCTCAGACAGACCAGATCCATTTCACTGGCTGGCTCCACTTTTGCACCAGCTGTAGAAATCCAGAGTCAGAAGAAAGGAGCCAAATTTCTGGATTTGTTTGAAGTAAATGAAGGTTTCATTCGCACTGAGATGTGACTGTGTGCAAATGTGTTACCTACCATTGGGTGTAACACTTGGTACTTTTGCAGTAACGTGGTATATATGGAAACTTTTCAGATGAAGAAGGAGGAGGAATAGGAGAAAGAGAAGGAGGATGGGGAGGAGAAAAAGAAGTAGCAGCAGCTTCTTCTTTTGGCCATGAGATGTCAGTATTGCAATCGGGCTGCCAGTCAGGCTGCTTTAGCCTACCAATGTTTTAGATCAACCTAACAGAGAAACTTAGTCGTAATAATGTGAGCGGGCCTTTTTGCACTTTGACACTTAGCCACAGTCCTTATTTTTGGTGTGTACACTATTTTGCTGGGAGTTCATTTTTGGAGAAAAGTCCTCAAATGCTCTGAATGCCATTGGCCAGCTCTGGGAGCAGAAATCATGCAAACAGTATTTCCTTAGCGTAACAGCAGGAAATCTCGTCACAGAGCAGCACGAGGCTAAGGTTGTGTACAAGTGTGATGTACATGGAAATCTTTAGTATCACCCTGGGTTTCCAAGCTACTGGCTCAACCATAAAGGCAACAGGGTTAGAAAAGAGACCTTTATTAAGAGAAACTTGGAAGGTCCCCAGACCACAAGGATGTAAAGAAATCCTATCTCTTTTCAAACTTTATGATAACTTCATTCAACCAGGGGGGCTGGCTCCCACTACTAAAACCCCAGTATTTTGCTAAGTTTCCTGACCTCAGTGATGTCCATGTAATCTCTGAGTCTTTTGGTCATCAACCAGTATCTTCACACGTTGAAAGCATAGAGGGTGGCCGTGGCAGTGTTGGGGCTCGCAGCACTGATACACAGGTACTTGAGGTCGTCATCAAAATTAAAGCTGGGAATCTTGTTAGGCTTAGTTGAATACGCTAGAAAGCAAATAAAGAAAGGGGATGAAAAATAGCTTGTCCTAATGACATGCTGCCACCATTTCTGGCTAAGAGCAACTTGGTGTTTTTTCACAAAATGTGAGGAAAGATGAAATTTAAGAAAGATGAAACACAGCACTTCCCTGATGATTTCCCACAAGTTTGTGCACTGAAAACTCAGATGCAGCAGGAGAGGCACCAACATCAAGTCACCCTAAGGTTGCCACAAAGCTAAAAATTTACAGCCACACAGAGCCAGTATTAGAGAGGGAGTAGCACAGCATCTTTTACCTTGCTGCAGAAACAGTGGGATGATGACAAAGGCAAAGGTTTTTCCTTTGTTAGTCACCTCAGGAGGAGGGGCAAAACTCATCCTATTCCTATACAGCCTGACTCCATGCTGCCGGTGTGTCACACCACCACAGCTGTCTGTGCAAGCTGGGCAGGCAATGCTACCAAGAAGGGTTTTCCACTCATACCCACTTTCTACTCCCTGTTAGGCACAACAGAACCAGGCCATGTTACTTCAGTGGACCAAAGGCAAGTGCATCTTGATGAATACCATGAGTTAAGTGAAGACACACAGCGTGCATTTCTTAAAAGGAGAGCCTCAGCTTCACAGGCAGGAACTGAAAGTAGAGGATTGATGGAGAACCTTTTTATAGCCGATCAGACACTTAATATCCTTTATGAAAGAGTAGTACATTTTATGATACCACTATAATTTTATTACATCCACTATACTTTAAGTCTACTTTTTACAGGGCTGAAGCTAACGGATTTTGCAGCCCAATGCATGTTAGCTGTGAAAGGTTATTCTGAACATCCATGTACTGAGCTAGTGATTCACACAGCAACCATCTCGGCATGGCAGGAAAAGGGAAGAGGTGATACACTCAGGAGGAGGGAGATGTTGGATTTCTCCTTCTAACCTTCAGTTCTGCAGCCACAGCTGACTGTTACTGCAGGCCCGGAGGTGTAACTCTGCACACTAGGAAGACGTGATTTTAAAAAGAGGTTCCTATTGTTGCAGCTTTTGCTGTTAATAGGTAAAGGAATTGCATAAACCCAACTGAAGAACCACAGCAGGCAAAACAAGCTGGAAAACTGAACAGATGCACCATGCACAAGCTAACAATGTAAGCATGTTTGATCGTCTGAGCTCTGGACACATCTATAACAGAAGTCCTCAGTCTGTGGTCTGCAGACCCCTGAGAGACCAGGGTCTCCTCCTGAAGAGTCCAAGAAAGATTTCTGGAAAAAAGCATGCCATGCAGAGGTCACACCTGAGAAACGCACATTGCCATGCAAGCACATCCAGGGGCAGAGGTCTCACAAAGTGAAGAGACCTCCTCTTCCTTCTGTACACTGCGACTCGTCAGTGGACAAAACTGGGACTTCTTTCTATCTGAAAGGTAGGCTGCAAGTATTTTTTCTAAATTGAGCTGTGTCTACAAACTTCGCTCATGGCAAATGATCCTTCTCTGTCTGCATTGACGGCCACTGCCTGCGGTGCCTGGCAGCTGCCTTGCTCTCCTGCTAGCCCAGGGATGGTGCTGCAGAACAGGGGTGTTGTGACAAGTTCAGGTGGCATGAACTTGGGTGGATCTTCTTCTGGTCAGTGGCTTCATGAGCTCTGCATGGTGAGTTATGAGGTGGACAACTCTGCTAAAGAAAGGCTGGGATGCTCATGGAAATGATGAGCTGTTCAGTCGCCAGCATTCTCCTCAACAAGGGTTTGTCCTCTTGTGCCCTCAGGCCTTGCTACAACCCTCTCACAATGACTGCTCGGGCACTGTTTGCCCCCTACCAATACGCAAATCTTAGGTCAGTTCTCCGTAAAGCCTCACGCCTCCCAGGATGTTTGTTTGACCAGCCCATGGATTGGTAACGTTCACCCCCACACCACATTTCCCCACAAGTTGCTTGTGTCTGAAATTGCCATCTCATGAGGTGCCACCAGCTCGCACCACTGTCTCACCCAAGGACAGCTTCTGAGAGCACCAAGAGCCCTTTGGGAAACAGCCTACTAAAATCAAAAGCCTAAACATACAATGCCAGTTGCCCTGGAAGATATAACAGCACCAGCCTCACTGAGGTTCTCATACTGCAATTTATCCCAGAGGGATTAATTAACTTCTGACAGGCCTTGGTTTGAAAATTATGGTGGGCGTTTCCTGAATCATAGTATCACTCAGCAATTTATCAAACCACAACAGAAGACACAAACTTAGATTGCTTCTTGCTTCCCAAGGCAGGGTTTATTATGTGCTAGGAAATTAAGTAACAGTTCCTGGTTTCTCTAAATGCCAGATTTTCAAAATCAGGGCATCTGGTTTGAGCTGAGCTCTCAAACTTGATCATGTTAACAGTAACAGCTTGTTGTTAGTGCTACTTCAGTCCTGAACTGCGACAGTGAGTCAAGAGCTGCACCAGAACAGGATACACAGATGGCCGTTCAGGGATGTTTCATACCTTATGCACGGTGATGCCCATTAAAGACTGTATCACTTTTTTCCTTTTCTTCCCACTAGACACTTTGTCCTCATAAGCTCAGAAACTACAAAAATTGGCATGAGTTTCTCTAAGGCTTGAAAGTGTAGCCAGATCAGAAGGTGATGGTTACTGTGAGCAGCGTGCAGCTCTAATGCTTGCAGCAAAGGAGTCTTAGCATAAGAAAATAAAAATGAAATAACTGATGGTGTTGTGATGGCAGGCATGTATCAGCTACCATCTGTTGGGGTGTTGTATCACCAGAAGGCTGGAACGTGAATTACCCAGTTTTCCACTCCTGCAGGAGACGGATCGTCCTTGCTTCTCTAATTTTTATCAGCATGATGAATATTTGCTTTATCCAGTAGAAAACAGTTTATCCTTTTCATTCTCAGACAGTGTGGAGGAGTCCTGGAAGAGGCTGGGATCTTGGTTCAAAAGCGCACCAGTGCACGGGCTCTGTTTAAAGATAAGGGTATTGCCATCCTGCCTTCACCCCTCACTTCAGCAGCTGCATGCCAAACCACAAAGCTCTTTGCCTGACATCACCTGTCAGCAGCCAGATGATGCTCTAAGAGTTTTAAATTATGTCTGCACACCTCATGGAGTACTTGATAGAGGTGTTGGGACACCGCCAGGAGACACTAACACCCTTACCGAGTGTGGACAGGAGTTCTCTGTGACCTGTCAGATAGAATTTGGAAAAGCATTAAGCAGTCAGAAACACACATCCCATTTCCAGAAGGGCCTTGCAAACACAGGTGCTCTGGGTTATAATCATATCAACACTTGCAGGTTCTGGATCAAGTCCCACGAGACTGCATTTTTATGTGTGTAACTCACAGGCTGCCTGTGAAAGTGAGCAAGTCGTGATTCAGTATTGCTGTAGGTACAGCATGAGTAACTAACAAACACAGAGGAGATCCTGCACCTAAATGCCAGAGTCCTGTTCCCTCACCCCTAATAAGCCTTTTGCCTTCCTCTTCCTGGAGGTGACCTGAGGGCTTATTTTCTAACAACATTTCAGGAGATGGAGGCTAGATATGTGAATACACAGCACTTGAACACCTCAGTAATGATGGCTCCTTTGAGAAAGTCATTTTTGTGTTCACTTTACCTGGTGCCACGCTCGCAGCAGAAACCCTGCAAAATGACACAAACCAGCCATCTGTGCAGGCACCAGCCCTCTTGCCAATATTCTGTCACTGAGATAACATATTGTACAGGAAAAAAAAAAACCAGTTATATTTGTCATCGCTTGCCAAAACATGTACACACCCTACATCTATGCAGACAACCGTGCTATTACCTGATGGTTTGTTGGTGCTCCCTGCCAGACCTTTTAAGTTGAAATGCACATGCTAAATGTCTAGACACCTACTGCTCTGCTCCACGCTGAGGCCAGGAGTTGTACGGTCTGTGTGTTCGGTGAGGGAAGAAGAAGAGGGTTGCCAGACAAGCTAGTAAGATGCCATCAAAACCTGTGAGGTCTCAGATCTGCTCTCTCTTTACGTCTCTGCATTCTTCCCCTAAAGCAAGGGGGAACAGCGCCTGTTGCTGTTCACTCTGCAAATTAGCAGTCACTGTCCCAGTGGCACTATAGCAGAAAAGTGGGGGAACTGTATTCATCCTCCCTCTATGGAAGCATACTCATGTCCCACCCATCTACCCTAAATAAAGAAGATAAAGATCTCTGCCATATCTGGATGTTCGTAAAATCCCCAGATTCTGTTCATCTTTAACTGGCCTTTACTCATTTTTGTGCTAGCCCACGCTGCAAAGATGCTAACACATATCACAGGCTCCTGGCAGGCACCCTGGTTGTCCAGAAAGAACAGGGCTTTTAGATGCTGTTTAGAGGCCACCTCAGGCAACCCTCTGCACATGAGAACATCTGGCCACCCTGAGCCTCGAAGAACACTCCTGAGTGTCCCTCACCAAGGTCCAGACACACTGAAATTGCCTTCCAAATGCAGATGAATGACATCATCTTGTATTACAGGGTTAACAGCCCCATGGCCAGCAGCATCTTGTCTCCTCAACACTCAATGCTTCTGCATGCCTCTCCCTGGTATACATTTGAAGCAGGTTTTTCTCCATTCCTGTTTTGTTTGCCATTTTGCATGGGGACAAGAATAACTAAAAATGCTGTACTTGCAAGTACACAAGGAGCTCTGAGGTGAATAATCATGCTACACCCAAGACTTTGTCTTCAAGTTCTTCCAAGTATTGTTTCCTCACAGCTTTCAGAGGAGAAGCAATAAGCATGTCTCATGTGCTGCCAGTCTTGTGTGTGCATGATCTCCCGGGTATATGTATGAATTTGGCCCTTAGAATAAAGTGTCCATATACAAATAGCCATATCTTCTTATACATAGCCATCTTCTTTCTTCCTTCCTTCCTGTTTCTTTCTTTCTTCTTTCTTTCTTGTCTTTCTTTCTTTCTTTCTATTCTATTTGAGAGCTAATCCATGCTATCGATAGTGAAGGTTGTAACATAGTAAGCCATCTAAGTAAGATACTCTAAAAAGAAATCTTGAGAATCTTTCCAGGGATAACTGCCAATTTCCTTTTTTTGGGGTGTATATTACAAAGCAAACCACCAGCAAGTTACAGACACCACTTTGCCATGTCCAAAGCCTCTCTGAAGAGGCAACGTGTCCCTGAGCAACCTTGGCATTGGTTGCAGTCATGATGTTCTTAGGCAATGTCTTGAGCACAATATTCACATATATTCAGCTGCAACCAGGAGACTTCATCATGTTTGCAAAATCATCCTGGGGAAGCACGCCAGATTGCCCAAGCCAAATTCCTCAGTGCTGTTTGCCCAGCTACACAGAAGCCCTGAACCCTGCAAGACTGCGCACAAGGCGTGCACGCT